GTTTTTTAGGGGCGGGGGCTTTTCTTTTTTTCCCCATTGTTTTCTTTTGTTTTCTTTTCTTTCTTAAAGTTGATGAGTAGCTCTGTCTATGGTGGGTCTTGCGTCATATTCAGCCCAGGTTGACTCTGGCAGGCTGGGGCGAAGCCAAGTTCGAATCGCCACCTATTGCGTTCTTGGAATCTTGTTGTTTGTCGTATTTTCAAGACTCAGTCAAGCTGAGTCTGTCTTATCGGAGATGGATGTTAAATTCAAAGGTCTTGCATCTTAAATAACATTGCTGAAAGGGGCATTAAACTCTTAGACTTGTAAGTGGTTGGCAGATGTGGTTTGCTCTTTCTCTCTTACCTAACATCTATCATCCTCATATTCTCTCCTCTTTCTTTTTTTTGTTCATATTACTATCTAGTAACACGGTTTATCTTCGGCACCTATAGTATGCCATAATTGTGATACAAGTGCCGTAAAACCTTTACTAAAACTAAAATCTCTTACACTTAATAAAACCCATTGGTGGTTGGCGGGTGCTCTGGTGTGGTTTGCTGCTTCTTTCCTATCAAACATCTATCGTCCTTATCTCCCCTTCTTCTTTTTTTAAATGTTTGTTACTCTCTTGTAACACCTCTAATCTTCTGGCGCTCATATGACCTTGTGCAGTTGTGAGCGCCGTAGAACCTCCACTAAAACTAAATAAAACCGGAGTTCTCTTTACTAAAAGACGCAGAATTTTCACATTGCTTTTGTTCTGGCTTCCCCTGGGTTTGGTGTTTCTTTCGGGCAGTTCTGTAAATTGTAAGTCTAGATGGGGGTTTTTTTCGCCCCTGTCAAAGTAATTGAGATCATCAGTTAGGAGACGCGGGGTGGCTTTGACCTTGCCTGTCTGGTCCAATCCAGGCTGAGAGATATACATGTACAACATCCCAGCGGACAGACGGAGTTACTCGACGAAAAACCTCCCTACTCAAGGGAATCGAACCACCTTCTCTTTTGATGGAGGAATTACATATACATGTATAATCACATTTACCTCCACCATCACCTTCACCTTCACCTTCAATTTCACATTCACCTTCACCCTCACCTTCATCATTATCGTTCTTGTTATTATCGTTGTTTACATTATCATTACTGTAAATATTATTATTACTTACTATTAATATTATCAATAATATTAATATTATTAATAATATTA